CAAAGGCAAATACACAAGCAAAAAGCTCACCGTGCACCATACAAGCTCATGTCTGAGAAAGAACCTTTTCTGCTCTGGTTATAGACCCCTCCAGAGAAGTCAAATAGCATCTTTTGGTCCCTAGGACCTCCACCTCCTCAGACCTTCAAAAGCCCCCAGGCTCTTCTCCCCTGGCACTCTGCTGCCTGGCCATCCACAATAACACCAGCTAGTGCATGTGGAATGGCCACTGGGCTAAGGCTTCACCTGCTGCCCCACCTGAGTCTTCCAAGTTGATAGAGGCAGGATCTCCATCTTACAAAAGAGAAACTGAGGTTTAGAGAGGTCCCCTGCCCCAGTGGTGACAGAAACACTTCCTGGAAGTTGAACCCTTGTGTACCTGCCTCCAACCTACACCATTAGCTGGTCTCCCCACCCAGGGTGGCCACACAATCATCCCCATGCTAAACTTGGTCACCTTCCCCTTGATTTCTGACCTTACATTCAACTTATCCTTTTGGGTATTTTAATAGTTCACCAAATATACAATTACTATATTACTCTTTCATTCTTATTTAGATTACATTTAATTTTCATACACAYCTAACTTGTATTATCCGTTGAGTGCTTACAATAAACATCATAAAATACTCAAAGACACAATCTATGCCTCCTGAAACAATCTGTGAATCCCCAGTGTAATTCGCTGTGTGGGAACACACAGAACACTGAGTTTTGAAGACATGGCACATATTTTGTAAGTGAAAAAATGACTGTAAGACTTCCATTTCATTACATCTGTATGCTACTGTATGCATCCACATGCTCCCATTTAAGATAGCTAATACAGAGGTATGCCTCATGCAAGGTATCTGACACGTGCTGACACCCAAGTAAAAGATATCTAGCAAGCCTTCAATAAAAGCTATTTGAGTACAATAGATTCGAGTGAAACATCATAATATTTCTGACTTGCTGCTGATGAATAACCAATAGATTACTACCAGATGCAAGCCTGGCTCCCTGAAGACAGAAAAATCAGCACACATCCATTCACCACAGCCTTGGTTCAAACAGCTCTCCAAACCTAGATAAGCTGTTTTTGCAATCAACTGATAGTTTTTCACAACTGTCTGATCTTTACAAAACTTGAGAAGCAGGGACCCACATTCAGGTAATAAAGGCAATGTAACACAAAGAATAATACTGTCTCTGTCACCTAAGTGTAAGTAAAAACCCAAATTTATTGACAACAGTCATCCTAGGTCACCTCTGTCTCAGTTATTTAAGCAACAGGTGTGTGTCTACTCGTAGCTGACTCAGAGTCCAGTCCTGCCAACCCCTGTGGCCTTCACCAAGAGACTTATCCAAGAGCTCCCTCTTCCACAGCTTTGGGTGGGGGGTCCTCTCCTCCTCCCTCTTCCATGGCCTGGGTGGCTCCCTCCCTCGGGGGCTCATCTGGAGGCACTAGCTGGTGCACCACACACACACACCACCACAGTGGAGATCAGGGTCTGCGTGCCTGCACTGTGGTGGGGTCACCTCCTGGACTGCCTTAGTCCAGGACCCTCTAAAAAGAACATAGAATTCCCAATGAGCAGGGAACAGAGCATGAGCAGGCAGTAAGCCCTTGTTCTGAGACCTTGCTGAAAGACACATGGCAATTCTCTGAAGAGGAGGCAGCGGACCCAGGCGCAGCCACCACAGCCTCTGCAGGAGTTGTTCAGACCAACATCTGGCATGGGAATGCAGCCTCTTCTCTTTCATTGAAACAGAAAAACTGGCCCTCCTCCAACGGGGTTCAAATGAAACCATATACTGAGATCTAAAAAATCCACTACACCTAAAACAGGAGAATTTTACTATATGTAAATTATACCTTGATAAACCAGATTTTTAAAAAACACCTTGACCTGAAGGCAACAGTTGCTGGGGATTGCTGGAGGCAACAGAGCAGTGAGCAGCACACCCGCTCCTTCCAGATGGAACCTGGGATGTGGTACTGTGTTGGGGAAGCACCTCAGGGCCTTTCAAAGAACAAGGCAATGGGTGCTGCAGAAGAACATGGAGTCCTGTACCACCCATTCAAGCACATAAGACACACCTGAAATAAGGCCTGAGGATCTTAAAAGAGCAGTCAGGAATCCAGACAACCCCTTCTGAGAGGGCCCCTTGTCTTCTTGAATCCCCAGCACAGAGGAGGATAATGAGTCCAGTAGGGGCAGTCCTATGTCCATATGTCCAAAGGACTGCCCCGTCCCTTTCCCCATCAGGGGCAGAAAGTAAGGGGTATAGAACCACAGAAAACTCAGGACAAAAACAGCCCTGAAATCTGGAGATCAGACCCAGGCAAGCACTGCTCAGGTGTGGGCTACAGGATAAGGCAGGTGTGTGACCTGAGCTCCCTCAGGTTCCTGCTACGTGTGCATTGCTCCAACGCTGGGGGACCTGGCTGCCAGTTGGCCTGAGATTCCCCACACAGGGTGAGGATGGGAAGCAGGGTCTGAATGAACACTACTGCCAAGGACCTGCCCATCCTGCCTCCAAGCCCACTCCCAGTCTGCGGGAGGGAGGTCCTGGAAGTCCACATACAGCTGCTCCATGCTGCTCCATTGTATTCCCAGCCTTTAGGAGTGGCGATAGCACAGGCCACTCCCAAAGGCCGGGAATACAATTTTTCCTCTGTGGGTTGCCCACCCACCTGCAGACGCAAGGCTGAACAAGATGTCCATGAATGTGGGATGACAACTCAACTCCAAGGATGCTCTGGAACATGGACCGAAACAAAGAAAAGAAAAGAAAAGGGGCAGGAGTGGCCTCCTCCCAAGTAACAAGCATCGAGGTGCTGAAGTGCTCTCCCCCAGTGAGGTGAACTTCCTTCCACTATCCCCACTACTGCATGTGCTGAAGAGCAGAGGATACCAGGCCAAGTCTGCTGGGGCCTCCATCCTCAGCAGATGGCAACCTCAGAAATGAGAACACCAAACTGACTATGTCCTGTGGCAAGCACGAACCTTGACCAGTTCCTGGTGGGCAGCCATATGAGAAGGAAAGCAGCAGACTCCTGCCAGGAGTAGGGAGGTAAAGGAGACTGCAGCTTTCTGGGTCACAAGTGTGAAGCACTCCTCTCTGCTACAAAGGGCTCTGATTGGCTCATCAAGAATCTGGGGACGCTGGGCCCATGAGGCAACTAAGACCTGTCTACCTTCCTTCAGTTGGTACCACACAGACACCACATACGTTCTCCCTCCCACAGAGATCAGCAGCCCAGGCACAGCAACAGGCCTACAGTAAACTGTAGAGGCCACACCAAGGGCCAAGAGGATTCTAGCAGGGGCCTCTGTGCTAGCACTGAGTGTCTTGCTCTAGAAGAGACGGCTTGGCCAGGGCTCTCCAGCCTAGCAGAGATGACATTCTCAGGACACAGGGTCCCCTGGGCCAGGTGAAAGGGCTCCAGGAATCAGCGTCCACCTCAGCAGCCCTAACTGGCTACATGTTCAGCCCTTGGTAGGGAGAGGAAGGTCAAGGTGCCAGGGACCATAAGTGTCAGAAACACAAAAGCCCACAGACTCATGGGACTCCAACTGCTTCTGATCTCAAAGGTACTCTTAATCAAACCAGGGAAGTTTTGACCAGTCCCAGAGATTCTGTCCCCTGCCACACCCTGAAGACTCCGGCCTTCAACTACCCCAAAAGTGGCTAATGGGGTTGCTCCTCCTCCACACATTCACTGAGGGGTCTTGAGAAGCTGGGTGCAGGTCTGCCAGGGGACTCGCCCCTGGGACCTAAGGAGTCTACCTGCAGACTGGCTCAGCTCTGCTGCCATGAGGTCTGGTCACCAGCTTCTGTGGTCTCCATCCCACAAATGTCACAGAACGAACCAGGTGTCTGTGAACAGCCTTTCAGATTTCAGGAGGCCTTGCACCTGAAACCTGGCTGAGTCACACCTGCCACTGGGCTCCAGTGGGGTGGCACACCTAAGTGTCACCTGAGAGCGCCCTAAGGCCAGGTAGTCTGTAAAACAGTGTGATTCCTGACTCCTGCTTCCCAGTGGCTATAAACAAAGGAACTCTTTACAGCAAAGTGGGCGGTACCCAACAGCCAGAGACCTACTCCTTGAAAGACAGTCTAGTTGCAATTTGCAGAAGAGCAGCCAGAATGGCCTGAGCCAGGAAATGCCACCACTGGCCCCTTGGTGGCACCTGTGAGCATCAAAAGCAGGCTGCAGGGCAGCCTCTTTTTTCAATTACAGAGCAAAAAAAAGTTTAGAAACTACAGACTGGGAAAATAAAAGCCCTAATATTGCATAGCATAGGGTAGAGATGGTGGTCTATGGTTTATTACACACTGAAAAACAACTAGAAGAGCTTGAAGGTTCCCAACACACAGAAATAACATCCAAGGAGAAGAAAATGCTAATTTTCCTATTTAATCACTATACATTGTAAACATGTCTCAAATTATAACATTGTACCCCACAAATAAAAGCACATTTATGTCAACTTAAAAATAATTTTAAAATATACTGGGGAAAAAAATCTCCTGGAATCCTCCCGTCCATATTACCCTTGCTGACACTGATGACACAYGTAAGTCCTCTCTATACCTATTACACTTGTAACTTAACTTCATTCATGAACAGTATTAAGAACTCCTTCCCCTGAGGGTCATCAAGGTCCTACTCAGAAGAGGCATATAACTACCCCACCTAGTCGCTGCTGTGACATCGAGACTACTTCCAGCTCTCTCTCACCACATATGGCCCAGTGAATGACCCTCCAGGACCCTCACAGAACCCGCCCATCAGGACATGTCATGCTTACTCAACTTCCAAGGAGGCCATCTGGGGCCCCAGGAAAACTGCAGAACTCCACACCTACACATGCTCACTGGCAGTCCCTGCAATGCATATTATCTGCACAAGCTACTTCTGTCTCCTCCCTGTGAGCTGCCTGTGGTATCCTCTGCCTAGGGGTCTCTAATGGGATGCACATCCTGCTCATTGCTCTGGAAGATCCTACCTTGTTTTTGAAGTACACCTCGATGGGCATGATGAAGCCAGCGTACCCCGACTCCTCCACTTTGTAGGGGGGCTCCTTGCACACTAAAAAGAAAGGGAAAACCATCCATCAGCCTCCTGCTCTTCCAAAGGCCCAACAAGCAGCAGTAGCAGCTCCCCCACTCTGCTGTCCTCCCTCCTTCTGAAGGCAGCTTTTCAGGAGGGCGTGCTCCCCCAGGGAAGTCAGGAAAATTGCATGCCAAACGGTGCCTGGGAAATAAAAGGGGGCAGAGCTGGACAGGAGAAAGGTGAATGGACCACTGGAACATCCAGCAGACAGAGTAGGAAGGGGCACAAGACTCTGACTTCTAGGCACTTCCTCCTGCCAGAGAAGGCTGCACAAGTTCAACTGACTCAGGTATGAAAGACCTAGAGCCTCAGCCTCTTCAGTGAGGAGCACCCGACAGTCCTGACCTCCTCATCACTGGCTACACCATGTGCACACACCCCCCTCTGTGCCAGGGACAGGCACACAGGATATGCAGGAAGGATCTCAGAGGGTTCTGCTCCTGGGTTCTACATTAGCACCAAATGAGAACAGTCCAAGCCATTTGAACAGCCAGCCTAATTAACCCAAAAATTTTTTTAAAAAAGGGAAGAAACAAACAGTAAAATATATATAAAATTATATATGCCTATAATTTCATTCAAAGTAAACCATTCATGTTTAAAATAAATAAAATCTTAAAAACATGGAAAATTTAAAAATTTTTAAAAAACCCATCCATGTTTCCACATTTCTACAGACATTATGCAAATACCATGAATATACTATTCCCCTGCTTTTAACTAAAATCAGGACATAAAGATCAAATCCCGGGGCTGGTGATGTGGCTCAAGCGGTAGCGCGCTCGCCTGGCATGCGTGCGGCCCRGGTTCGATCCTCAGCACCACATACAAACAAGGATGTTGTGTCCTCCAAAAACTGAAAAATAAATATTAAAAAATTTCTCTCTCTCTCTCTTTAAAAAAAAAAAAAAAAAAGATCAAATCCCTTATTCTCCATCCCTCCCTCTCCAGAGGCTACCATTCCTGGGAGAAAGGAAGAATCCTGCCAATTGCTTGTGAGGTTTTTTAACCACTTCCCTGAGGTTGGAAAGACATGTGAAGTTTGCATACTGAATGACATATCTCAGTGAGTTTGGGGTAAGTCTATAAAGCCACCATCATTACCAAGGCCAGAGGCATTCCTTCACCTCCCAGAGCTTCCTCCTGCCCTTTGATTGTTTTTCTCTTCCTAAGAATATTTAATGAAGACCTACTCTCTGAGCAATGTTAAGCACACAATACAGTACCAACAACAATCAGATTCTACTAAAGATTGCTTTAGTTGACCACCACCACCCTATACCCTGTCCCTAGCCCTGGGCCACCACCCCAATCGGCTTCTTTGAGTTGACTACTGTAGATGCCACATATAAGTGATATCACATAGTGTTTACCTTTCTCTGTCTGGCATACTTCATTTTAGAATATCAATTGTTTAAAAAAAAAAAAAAACTTTTACGTGCACATATCTGCATAAGTAAGTTAATTCTTTAGTGGGCCCCAGAATTTGCTAGAAAACAGTGAAACATAATGAAACATGACATTTAAACCTTAATTAGCTGGGTGTGGTGGTGCACACCTACAATTTCAGGTACTAGAGAGACTGAGGCAGGAGGATCACAAGTTAAAGGCAACGTGGGCAACTGAGCAAGAACTTGTCTCAAAATAAATAAAAAGGGCTGAAAATAAAGCTCAGGGGTAGAGCTCCCCTGGGTTCAATTCTCAATGTAAGAGGGGGGAAAAAAAAAAAAAAAAAAGACTTTTCTTTCAAAAAAAAGAGAAAAGGCTCTCAAATATCAACCTTGTATGTATATATAGAAACAAACTTGGCAAGCAGGGAGGGCAAGCCTGGAGTGACTAGGGACCCTTGAAGGTAGGGCTAAACAGCCAGCCTCGCATGGAACCCAGTCTGCAAACTACAGGGAGGAAAAGGCAAACTAGAGGAGCCTGTGGCTCCTGAAACCTGGAGCTGCAAAAACTGGCACAGGGGTCAGTGATACCAAGACTCCTTCTTACCCACCTCCACTGTCCCCCTGATGCAGCCCCTGGTTCCCTCAGGGCCCAGCTCCACACCAATGCCATCACTTTCCAATCCCCTGGCTGCCGCTGCTTCCCCTCCAGCTGCCTGCCCTGTCCCTACAATAGTCCTAACACTCACCTCCATGCAGTGACCTACTAAAGTCTATAGCAACCACCTCTGTCAGGCACTCTAGCCACTTCACTGACACCAGGCTCTGCAGGTAAACTACTGCTGCTACCAACTGCAGTAATTACACCTGGCTCACTCCTCCATTCCTCCAGGCCACTGCTCATGGTCTGACAGTGTCAGGGACTTAGAGGACAACAGAAGCCACAAGAATACCTCCAGCCCCTTGTTGTCACTTTCAAACTGGGTAAGGCAGGAGCAGTCCTGCCTGCTGGACAATCTGGATCAGTAGGGAGAATCTTCAGCCTGGGGAGAATTGTCCCAGATGGCTTACAACCAAATCTCCATTCCAGCCTGTCTCTTTTGGCTCCTTGGACAGGTTGCTGGAGATGTTGGACAGGGAACTTAGATATAGCTCACCCACACAGATTTCTGATGCATCCCTAAATCTGCACCTCTCCAGTGCCCCAYAGTCAGGGACCCAGGTTGCCCAACACTCACCCAAGGATCTGAAGGAAACTGGCTCCTCTCCCAAGGCTCACCTGTCACCAACCGCTATCAAACGGGCCTTCAAACTTATAAACTGCCCAAGAATGCAGCCCCTGGCCTACATGCTACACCTCTCAACAAGAAATACTTCCTAGCACCTCACTAGCCGCCTAGCCCTAAGTTTACTTCTACACCATTCCTGCGTGGGCAGCCAGAAAGATCTATATTTTTTTTTTTTTTAGTTTGGAGGGGGCCACGGTGTCCCCCAAACTCTTGAGTTCAGCTCAAGCAATCCCCTGACTCAGTCTCCCAAGTGGCTGATGTGAAAGACACATGCCATCTTGCCCACCTTAAAAACAAGATACATTCAAAGGGGCAAATTAAAAAATAGGAATGGGCTCTTAAGAAGATATTACAGGGGTTGTAGCTCAGTGGTAGAGCACTTGCCTAGCATGTGTGGGGCACTGGGTTCCATCCTCAGCACCATCTAAAAGTAAATAAAGATACTGTGTCCATCTATAACTAAAAAAAAAAAAAAAAACAAAAAAGATATTACAAATATACACTGTTTTTCAATTCAATTGGATGAATAGAAATTAAAGGAAAGAAGCAGAGCAAAAAGACATATTTTGTTAAAAAAGTGAGACATGAAGAAATGATTCAGCAGATTAAATGATCCCGCTGACAGCGGCTGCCATTTCTAAGCATCAACTATGCAGTGCTCACCTCAGCTCACTTACTGCTCACAATGATCTTACAAGAAGATGCAATTTTTCTCATTTTACAGATGAAAGATTTAAGCCCAGGGAAGTTAAATGATGAGCATCCAAAAAAGAAGAAAAAAGAAGAAATACACAGATGGAAGGAAACTGTCCCAGGTGTAGATAACTTTCCAGAGCTAAAATAAAGACACCAAAATGTCATAATACACTGAACAACAGTAACAAAAATCCCAGAAACATGTCACATGAAACATCCTAAATGCTTCTGGAAAGAAAAACAGGACACAGCAGCAGTACCCAGACCCACAGCCTCAGACTCTTCAGAGGGATGAAGGACGCTTTCAGAGTTCTAAACCATATAATTCTAGTAATTCTCATCCAGCATGTGACACCCAACCCCACCATCACTCTGCTATAAGAGGAGAAGGACTCAAAGAGGTCCCTTCCCACATAGCTTTCCTAGGGAACTTCTTAAGTAATGAGCCTCTTGGGACAGCACTTGAGAAACTGTACTAGTAAAAGGAGAAAATAACCAAAACAAAGAGGAACAAATCAAATCCCCCCAAGGAGCGCAGTGAAGAAAAGGGCCAGCGTGAGAGCCAGAGAGAAGCCAATCTGATTAGAGGCGGAAGGCAAAGGGAAGCACACAGAATGCTCAGAGTAAAGAAAAAGACCAAAACAACACTCCACCAGACAAAGACAAGTGACACGGTCAAGACAGGAGAAAAGGAAGATGTTCTAAAGACACAAAACAAAAAGCAGCTGCAAACAGTTACTCAAAAAATCATAGCCCCAAGTTTAACCCAAAATGCTGAAAAGAACTGATTCTGACCTTGAGGGCTTTAGAGTTAGAAATTAGGGACACGGTGAGGGGGAAAGAAACCCTGACATCTCACCATGTGCTGCTTCATTTTTCAGAGACACTCTCCCATCAGGGAATGATGATCTGAGTTTCAGCTCAACAAACTTAACCATGTCAAGAGCTACCCTCAACAGAAGGGTGAAGGAAGCTCAAGAAGAGGCAGGGCCCCTGATCAGGTCCTTTTCATTTACTCATTCATTCAATAAGTACTTGGTACGGGACCACAGCATCCTTGCAAGCACCGGGGACAGAGAAACAAACAAAATAGACAGAACTTCTACTTGCAGGTAAGGGAGGAGATAAATAAATATGTTAAGATGGTGCTAAGGAGAAAAATGAACAAGCTCAGCAACATGAGGCTATGTAGATATGTTGGGGAAAGAGACTACAATTCAGACTCAGCAGGGAGAGGATGTCCCAAAAGGACCACGGGTTCCATCTGTGAAAGAACCCAAAGGTAAGCACGGCCAGGCTCTCACCTCATCATGCAAAGTCACAAAGAAGCTGCTGGGAAAAGGAGTGGAAAAGCACATCCTGAGCATGGGCAAGGCCCTGGGTTCCATTCCCAGCGTGAAAAACAAAACAAAACAAAAAAAGCCTTAAAAAGAATAAAAAGCAAATCATTTAACTATAAACAATGTAGAAAGGACGGTGGAGAAATAGAGGTATTTTGGGATAAGTTCCAATCTTTCATGCTGGTAAATCAATAAACATCATTTACATTTGAAAAACAAATCAAGAAATAGTTAGCAAATCAGCTGGTGTTAAGAACACACTCTAGAGGCTGGGTGGCTTAGCGGTAGAACATGGGCAGGAACAAGGTTCGATCCTCAGGACCACATAAGAATAAAGGCATTGTGTTGTGTCCATCTACACCTAAAAAATCTCTCTCCTTTAAAAAAAAAAAAAAAAAAAAAAAAAGCACACACTCTGGAAAAGGTTAGAAAGATTGCCGGTAGGGTGGTAAGATTGGGGGAGGAGATGAGAATCTACCACTCTCTACCTCAACCATTTCTGCCCTATTCAATTGTTATAATGAATGTGTATTTGATGTGAAAGATACTTTTTAAATTTATGAAATACCATTCCAGAGGTATTCACCCCCCACTCTTAAGAGTTGATCTACTTTTCATTGAAAACTGGAAAGATATACTCTGACACAATTTCTCTCAGTGCAACAGAGTGAACTGGGTATTTGTCTTTGATAGACTTGATGACCTCAGCAGTTCTCTTGAGATACATTTGAAGCAGCTGCCCTGTACTAGACACCCAGACAGAYTGCAACAAACAGGTCTCAGCCACTAATAGAATGGTAGCCACAAACTGACACTGTAGGGGAATGAGCGTCACCAACCACTCCATCTTTCAGGGACCTGAGAATGTGCACTCAGGCAGGTGCCTGGCCTGCTCTGTTGCATCCTTTTCCACGTCTTCCTCCCAGGAATCCCCAGGCTGCAGGTCTGTCACCAGGAACACAAGGTATGACACCAGGCATGGAATAAAAGCACGATGAATGCAAATCATTACTACATGACTTCTAGGAACTGCTTGGGCATGCATGATGGGAACTGAAGAGAAAATAGCTTCCAAGCAGAYGCAAACCATCATCCTGGGTTGGTCCCCATGCTCCAAGCACAGGAAGAAGGGGAGAGAACAGACAAGGGAGAGGGAGAAGGAGAATGCAGTGGATACTGCTAGAGGAGAGAAAGGGAGGCAGCTTCAGCTTATGTTCTACCAGCATCACAGGTAACACCTGGACAAATGTCTGGCCATGCCAGTAATTAAACCAGCAGTGGCTGGTTGCGGACCAAGGGCAGTTTGCTAACCTCCTCCCACCCACTTTAAAGCATGAGCAGCTGACCTGGCCCTTTAAGACTCTGTCACCATCTATAAAAGCACAACATGGTGAGAAGAAGCCTGGACCCTGTCTATGGACAGCCCAGCAGGAAGTGCTATGCAAATGGCTATGTGCTATGCAAATTGCTCTTTTTTTTTTTTTTTGTAGCTGTAGATGGACAGAATGCCTTTATTTTACTTGTTTATTTTTTATGTGATGCTGAGGATCGAACCCAGGGCTTTGCACATGCTAGGCAAGCGCTCTACCACTGGGCCCCAGCCCCAGCCCATGGCTCATATTCTTTTTATTAAAAAGTGCTGAGTATTTGCTGTTGTCAGTAACCCTATCTGCCATCTTCTAAAAGGCTAGGAATAAAGAAAAAAGGGAGAAGGTGAAGACAAAGCAAAAATGAGGAGGGAAAGGAGTGGCTGAATACTGAAGAAACTATAAGAAAAAGAAATGCTGCTGTTAGCGATGTCAAGTGCATGTCCTTTCAAAGTGCAGTTTCTACTTCTGTGGCATTTCACTCCCTGCTCGACAGCTAGCCTCTTACAGGCAAGCTTTCTAAACCACTCCTGTGGCCCTGGAACGCCTGCACTGCAGGTGGAGGGGTCAGGGGTGGCCCTGCAGCAGCTCCCCACCCCCCAGCACAGCAGTTCCCCTTGAACACACCTGTTCAAGGAATATTTATTGGGGGCTGGGGTGTGGCTCAGTGGGAGAGCACTTGCCTAGCATGCACAAGGCCCTAGATCCATCCCCAGCACTGGAGGGAAAAAAGTATTGTACCCTCCATAATGTGCCAGGCCTTGAGCCTCACACTGGGAACTCGATGATGAGAAAACCAGCTCTAGCCCCCCAAAACACTCAGAAGAGACCAACCTTGTCCCCAGATTTCCCACCAAAGCCTTGCCCAGGGTCCTTTCCAAGAAAGCCATCTCTGATCATAAAGAGGGTTAATTCCCAATTCTGTTCCTTCAGACCATGTCCCGTAGAAAGGCCAGGGCCACATTGTCACAGGTGGAGACATGGGTGGGGTACACAAAAGGGGCACTCATGTTTAACAAGCAGCAGCCAATGTGGGACTGGGTAGGGGAGTCAAGATAGGATGACAGGAACTCCTTTTCTTTTTTCTACTCCACATACTATGAACTCTTAGAATGGCACCCTAATCCAACTCAGGCCCAGTGAGCAATGTCCTGATTACTCACCACCTGGCTGCCATCTAAATGATAACAACAGTCACCACTTTCTTTCCATTCCCCTGTGACTGACTCGACAGTTGGAGAAGAGTCTGGTGCACTGTGTGGAGGAGGAGGCTGAGGACTACCTCAACATCAGCCTGGCTGGGCAGCTCCCCACCCCCAGCACTTACTACAGAACACTTTCCTTCCATCTTGACACAATACATGGGCATGTGGGTCCCAAACTCCAGGAGGCAGGGACAGCCTTTGGAGAAGGAACGCTGGGTAGATTAGCATTCCTAACTCAAGGCTGGGGCTACTCACCACGTTTGGGCTTRGGGAAGCTGTCGTGCAGCCGGAAGATCACCTTCTCTACGAAGTGCTGGATTTCACATTGCTCTGGGCCACGAACAAACACCATCCAGTCGTGAGTGAACCCCTCCGTGGTGGGCTTCTTGCGCAGTTGGGCACGGTGCCCCAGCTCTAACTTGACCTGAACAGTGCACTGGGGGCAGGGAGAGAGATTGGAACAGGTCAGTACAAAGCTCAAAGCAAGGCACTATGCAGAAATGTCCTGCCCCCTCACCCACAGGCACACTCAGTAAAAGCCTCCAAGCAGAGAGACAGGTTTCCAAGCTAGGGAGGGGAACATGAATGCTTCAGTGCTTCCAGGGCACCAGCACTGAGCTGAGGGCCCCACAAGTTCTGGCTCCTCAGCAAGTGGCACAGGGCCTGTGTGTCCTTCATCTGCCTTCACGTCCTCTGCTCCACCTGCACAGCCTCGTCTCTGGTCTTCCTGTCAGCCCAGTTGACTTCTGCCTCTAGGCCCTGGCACCTGCAGGAGCTCTTCTTCTAGACTTACTACCCTAGCTCCTTTTCATCACTCAAGGCTCAGCTGTCACTTCTGCAGGGAAGCTTCCCTAATGGCCCAAGCCAATAGCACTTTGACATTCTACATCACTTATTGGGGGCGGGTGCTGAGGATTTAATCCAGAGGTGCTTCACCACAGAGACACAGACACATTCCCAGCCCTTTTTATTTTTGAGCCAGGGCCTCACTAAGTTGCTAAGGCTGGTCTCGAACTTGCGATCCTCCTGCCTCAGCCTCCTGAGCTAAGATTACAGGAGTGTGCCACCATGCCCTGCTACCTATTTCATTCTTCTCAAGAAACCATCAGAAACCATCTTGCTGATTGCTGTCCACCTGCTCTCCCCTACCATCAGCTCCTCCCAAGTGAGATATCACTGAATACAGATGTGTAACCCAGACTGCAATTCTGTGGATGAGGAAACTGAGGACTCTGACAGTAAGCTGCTAAGTGGCACTTGCAAGGTAAGGAGCAGCCTCAGATTTGAGGCTGGGTCTGTGTAGCCAAGGGCCACTCCCTTGACTACTCTGCTATCCTGCCTCCCTGGCCAGGGCACAGCACGCACACTTTCATTTTCATGCACTTCTATATGAGGGCAGGGGCCTTTCTTGCTCCCCTAAGTCATCCCTAAACACGGTTTTTTGGTTTCAAAAGAACCAAGGACAGTTCCCAGTAGGCAGGAGGAAGCAAGTGTACAGCCACCTGCTGAAAGGACCCAGGTGGACTGGCTGCTGGCAGCGGAGCTCCCTGCCATTCACGTGCCTGGCATTGTTTCCTGAACTACAAGGCAGATGAGGCCAGTCCCCCTCCACTGAACACAAAGCCACAATCCTTGAAAGCACTCTTAATGTCTAGGCTGATTACCAGTGGAACGTACTGTAAATATCCACTCTAGTTTGCAAAAACCTCCCCAGACACAACCCTGACACCTAATATCAAATACAAGAATGTTACAGAATGAAGCAGAGGCCAAGTGGACACTTGTTTGTAAGTACCAAGATAAGCAGGAGAGACATGAAGGGCGAGTCCCAAGCTGCCTGTGTGACACTCCCACTCACTGGGCTCTACCAGCCTCCCAGATGGAGCCACCCTCCCCTGCCCTGGACTCCAGAACTCCCATATCACCTTTCACCTTCTTTCTAAGTGACTGTGTGCAATCCGAGGCACCTGCCTCTGTTCAGACCTCACCACTGGCTGAGTGAGCCTGCCCCCATCCAGCTGCTCTCCTCCCCTCTGCCCTCATCCCACAGTTTGCCAACCCCATCAGAATGGAGTGCAAGCTCCGGGCACTCCTCCTGCCTTCCACCTGTTCCTTTCCAAATGTCTAAAAAGTGCTCATCTTTTTCACACTTTAATATTATTTTTGAAGTCAGAATCCAAGGCAGTCCAGATGTGTAAATTTCAGGTTTTGAGGGCCTCCCACTCTGTATGCATGTTCACACATGCGCATTCCTGGGCACACACACGTAAGCTGTTACAGTAGTCAGTGGTGTGTCTTAAAGAATCCCAGGACTGAGAAAACACAGGAAATGAAATGCACACTCTGTGCTCCAGCTCCATCACAGGGCTGGCCAGCCCCAAACACTCCAGGAATACCCACCCATCTGTGTGCATCTCTTCCACCCCACAGCCTGGAATACCTTAAACTCATTTCTCTTCTGGTCAAAATTCTACTCATCCCTTAAGTCCCAACTCAAAGACTATTTCCTCCAGGGCCCCTTTGATCACTGTGCCAGAACCAATCATCAATGAAGTCTGTGGCCAATTCTTTCTGGGTTGTTTCCTGCTGTCCCCCTCATGCCCCTGAGAAGTCTCTGACAAGAGGGACATCTTGTTCATCCTTGTTGCCTCTATCCTGGAAGCATAGTACACAGTGCATCAACAACACTGGATTAATTTAGCCAGAGGACCTTCTACATCCAACAGTTCTGAGGAGCACCATCCAAGGAAGGAAGGGCCAAGAGGCAGATAAGGATGGGTGGCTCCAGTGTGTGTAGAGCTGGCAAGAGACTTGTGGTTCCAGGCACTGGGCAGCTTGGTGTAAGAAACAGGGCAATTTTTTGTCAATTTAAAAAATTAATTAATTTTTTAAAAAAGAAATGGGGCAGAAGGAGTTCCCCTGGCTCAGGGTGATGGTCCCTTTGGGGCTTCCAGAAAGAGAGCAGTAACTCACTTAGGACACTGGAGGGAGGGGCTGGGACAGAGTGGAGTCCAGATTGGACACAACAGGGATGATAATGGACTATATAAATGGATGATGGATATGGGGAACGGTATCTGAGTAAAATCCTCCAGTGATCTGTGTATGGCCAGGGCTACAGGAAGGAAAGGGAAAGAAACAAACAAGGGCCACGGAAGCCTGCTAGGAGGCAGCCTGCTAGGAGGCAACCAGAGAGGCCAGAAAGAGGAAAACAGAACCTGAAAAGGGAAACCAGCAAGAGCCCAGGGTGAAGAGATTCAGTACTCCTGGGACACACASAGAGGGCCGGTGACTAAGTAGAGAGACGAATGGGAGGTCAGCACACTCACACAGCCCAGGCACCTGGGGAACACACAAGGCGAAACACTCCAGCAAAAGCCAGAGATGAGGAATAACCATCTGGACAAATAAGTAACACTCAAACCAACCACAAGCATCTATGTGAATAGTGCTAAGTATGGAGAATGTTCAACCCAAGCAGCATCCGCATGACCCCTAGTGGGCTGTAATCACCGTGTACACCTCACACCCACTGACCTCTGCCTCTCTACCCAACCTGCTTCCACACTGAGAATGGTTGTGAAGGTCACTGGTGAAAATGACAACAACGCTATATGGAGAATGAATTCTGCTTCCCTCGAGTTCACTCCTGTGTGATGACAGTCTCCTCGGAATCAGTTATGCACCAATCCAGCTACTCAGCCCTCGGCTGGCTTCCCAGCATTTTTGATGACATGAAGTTCCCACCCAGGGCATGCCAGCAGCAGAGCAGTTATTGTGAAAGAATGGACCACAGCTTCATCAGAGAGGGGGAGAGTGTAGGCGCCAAAACTGCGCTGCAGTGGCCAAAGTAAACAGGAAGGTTCCAAGGCAGTGATGGGTAATCTTCGCAGCCGGCTGGCGGTGCCCAAAGCACCACCCAGCGACATCTATGCCCCAGGGGCTGGCGCCAACTGCAGACTGAACACCCTTGGTTAAGGGCATGTCAGAGACTTGGTGGACAGATTCAAGGCTCCCTGGCCCAACCTCCTGCACACTCCCCTGAATGCTGGAATCTGCTAAGAAATAAAGAGAGTGGGATAACACAGATTCTGTTCCACTGTTTTAAAAAAAGGAAGCATTGATTCAGTAAAACATTAGAGCCACATTCACTGGAGCCAGCAAGCTGAGCCCTGGCCAACTATCCTGATGGGTCAAGTCATGATAATTTATTACCACAGTTAAGCCAATTCCAGAGTCAACTGTTAACATCCCCTCCTTCCTCTACKCCACCTGGACTCCCTCCATGGCCATCAGAACCAAAGATTTGAAGCAAACCAACCAGCTGGTTCTCAAGGAGGGTGGCCTGGCAGAGAGGCCAGCTGCTCAGGTTAAGCTCCAGACTCTCCTGGAATGAGGGAACCTCACCTGCCAGCAGCTGTCCCCACCCCCATCCCCAGTATCCCACACAGATGTCTCAACATCTGTGTCCCCCACAGGCATCAGGACAACCTGCTACCTGGAGCCCACCTTTGGAACTCTCAGAATGGAGGGCAACCCCAAGGGGCTCAACCTGTGACTGCCACTTCCTGCATATTTGGGACTCACCTGGATGGCCACTCCCCAACAAAAGCCCAGAACAAAGGGAAACTTCCAGGTCTGCCCTGGAAAGTGTTAACCATTTTACTCCTGGAAAATCACCCAGAAGACAACCAGTGGACAGGGCGGCCCAAGGGCTCGGGGGCCATCTGGGGACAGTTAAGCTTGGGCAGGAAGCCTCAACTGGGACACTTCCCTCCATCCAGGCCAGCTGGCAGAGGGCACTTAGAACCAAAGGGCCAGAATCCTAAATCCAGCAAACCAGGCACACAGATCCTAGAGGGCCGCTTCCAAGGCCTCCTTCCACTAAAGAAAACAGCTCTTCCCAGGTGTGCACTGAAAAGCCCCCACCCCCAACCCCTGGCAAAGAGGAAGAACCTTTTCTGACAGCTCCAGATTCTAGGTCCTTTCTTCTGATTTGGTCAGCCAGCCAGCTTCTCCTGGGCCCTGCCCTGTGTCTGGGACCCAGAAGGCAGGTCTTTGGCAGTGAGTGTATAAGGTTTCCTCTAATTTTCTGGTGGGAATTCTTTCCAACAAATGCCCCTTCCTCTGAGAATCTGGTATAAGTACACCCAGAATTTGACAACTGCACCTAATTCCAGGTGCACCAATATGCTCCCCTCCCAGGAGACAGTGCTAACTCTTATCCCTCTTCAATACCAACTGGTTGTGCAGAGGTGCTGGCCGAGTGCTCCAAATACACATGCTGATGGGGCCAGGTAATGGAGCTTGGGCAGTTCCAGAGAATGGTAAAACAAGACCAAATAAGTCACACTTTGCAGAACCTTCTCCCTCCAGGTCCAGCTGGGGGCTCTCAGGGTAGCCACTGAATTAAAATACAAGAAGGGGAAACAATGGATTGTCCCCTGCGACAATCCTCATAAGTGAGGAATTGCCCAGAAGGTGGGGACAAAGCCAATCACTATACCAATGGCCAGTGGCCAGCACCTCCAGTCCTTTTCTGGCTCTATCTACCCTGGTTCCTCTGACCCAGGGCAAAAGGTCAATGACAAAGGAATATGAAGGGGTTTGATGAATTTCTCTCTAAATACTCAGGTGTACAAACCACATGGATATGCAAATACACCCACAATACTCAGTGTTCAGGTTCCTGGTAAGACAGAACTGCACCTGTCAGGGACCAGATATTAAAGTACAAGGTGCCCAATGATGTGCAGACACAGCACCAGGTGTCTCCTGGGAACAAGGGGAACAGTCTTGGGTGATATTTTCTGAATGTGTAAAATCCCAATCAAGGCATCTGTTGCCAGAGTAGGAAGGCCTGGTTGCAAACAGACTGATTCCTGGCTGCTCTGATTTAACCAACACTTGGCAAAGAGAGTGAAACCTTGTGTTAGACACAAAGGGAAAAAGACACTGGTGCCTGCCCTCAAGTATTTTACAATGTAACAACTTGAGAATAAAACTTGGCAAGGAGACTTTCCAACCTTTAGGACTGGGAGTAGAAGGCAAACCAGTCACTCTGCAGTTAATACTCTGAGTAATCCTGAGTTTTTCTAGAAGCGGTTTGGGGATAAGAGCAGAGGTACCAGGACCTTGACCCATCTGAGGACCTTCTTAGGTCTGCATTTCTACACCTGCACAATGGCTGGCTAGGGAGCTGCTTGTGGCACCAACATCAAAAACAAACCTCCCTCTGGGAAGAGTGTCATCATAAGGCAGTCACTCTCCAATCCACACTTCGAAGCCCCCACATGCAAAGAATCAGCAAGGGGCAATTCCATCTTCTGATGTGACTGGGCTGTCACCACCTCAGAAGCCCAGGCCACTGTGAAGGGCTGGCTCTGTGAATGAGAGGCTCCCTGGTCCTTTTGAACAAGAGACCAAATGGCTGCTGACACTACTTCCCATCTCCCTGGTCCCCACTGACCCACTCCTCTATCCTTCCCCAATGTTTTCAGCATCCACTCAGTCTCCATTCCACATCACACCCCAGCCTCAGAGATAAACCCACTTCTCCCAGACCAGACCCCTAAGTAAGCTGAGCAAAGATTTYACTCATACCTCTACAAAGAAAATACAGCACCAGGGCAGGTGTGGAGCGGGGAGAGCAGAAGAGTCATACATGTGGGTGCAGGTTAGGGCAAAGAGAACCAGAAAGACCTTTTCCTGCCCATGGGGAAAAGATGCCAATGAGGAGAAGTTGGGACAACAGAGCAGAACGGGAAATCCCCTTCTTAGCTGAATCTGAAAGGCCTATGGGAAGGTCAGGTCAGGAAAGAATCAAAGCCTCCAGAAGCTAGGGAGCACTGTTTCCCACTATAGTGAGGCACTACAGGTCTGAGGCATGGGGACAGGCAAGACTCCACAGATTCACACTCACCTACTTGGTAAGTGACACCATTCTCCAGCCTCCCCAGGGGACTTACTGTCATCAAGAGATAGGGATAGAGCTCTCTAAAATCTGCATGAAAGCATGGTGGGAAAGGCCAACTAGACTTCAGACCCTCATCCTTCCCTCAGGGGCTGGTTTCACTTACAAATACTTCTGCAATCATCAAGACCAGTGCTGCCCGATGGAACTTTCTACACTGATGGAAATGTTCTCTCTAGGCAGCCACACAAAGCAGCTGGCAACTCAGTTGTAGTTACTGAGCACTCAAAAGGGTGACTGAGGGACTGAATTTTGTAAGCTACATAACTACAGGTTAAATTTAAAATAGCTACAGGTGCTAGTGACTGGCATCCTGGACAGTACCAGCTCTTGAAGGCCTGTACCACCTGAGTGGGACCTATATCTTCCTGTCACAAAGCAAGAATTATCACCTCTTTCCACAGTCCCACTTACATGACAGCCACCAGACATCTAGGATCCAACCCATCAAAAGGGGAATGGCCTAAGACCTGGACTAAGGAGTAGGGACAGAGGCCATACTCTATGCCTTTTGTGGTGCCAAGAGACATCCCAAGGGTGAGATTCATTGACAACAGACATTGAAGGGACATTCCATTTGGTTAATTCACTAAGAATTACAGGCAGCAGGCTCTATGTCTCCAAAAGAAATCATCTGACACCACACTGCAAATCCACCAGCCAGGTGCCATGCCCTCTCCTCACCTCCTGATAGAGTAACACCAAAGCTGGAAGGGAAGCCACAGTGAGTGGGTGCCAGGATATCATTGAGATGCCACCTGCCTCAATGATCCCATGCCACAGGCATCAGGACCGGCAAGGGGAAGATCCCTTGCCCACAGTCCCCAACACCACACAGCCACACAGCGCCTCACCAGAGAGAGCCGCCTCTGTGGCGCCAGCAGCCAGGGACGCCCCAACCTGCCCTTGCTAAAGGCAGAGATTTCAGCTGCCACCCCCACAGCCCCACAATGCCTTTCCTGGCTCTGCGCCCCTGAAAGCCAGGGCAGCAGCAGAGAATGAAGAAGTGATCCCGGGTTGGGAGCAGGAGTGACACTGGGTTTGAGAACAGAAGGAACTCGGATGATGAAGAAGAGATACAGTGCTGGGTAAGGGGGGACACTGGGGATCAGAAAGGCCTCAGGTTTACAAGAACCAACAGGATGGGCAGCAGGATGGTTTCCAGATGGAAGGGGGAGCTGCCACCAGGAGTTTGGGGAGCATGGGGAATCCACCTGGGGTTTGGACAGAGGCTCTCATATGTGGGGGGAAGAGACAAAAATGAGGTGGGGAGGGGGAAAGGGTAGTGGCTAAAAAGTAAGCAGGTCAGGGGGCTCCGGTAGAGTGGGAGACCCTGAATGTAAGGAGGGGGGCCTAGGGTTCTGGGGAGATTGGGACTGAGAAGCCAGGCCAGTGGCAGGGAGAGGAGCCAGACTGAGGCAAGAGAGCTGGACAGGGATTAAATGTGGGAAGCACAATTGAAAGTCGCCGGGCAAGAGCAATGGTCTGAAGGGTTGGGGTGGTAGGCAGTCAGGTCCCAGAAGAAACTGCTCTGGCCCTGGTCTAAGAGAAGGAGGACTGAAGGCAAGAAACGGTTCTTCAGGCCGGGGGGGTCCCAGGGAGAATGAACATAGCCTAAAACCAGATGGGGGCCAAGGCGGCATGGGGGGGTCAAAGTAAGACCAAAGAGAAGGGACACTCTAAACAGACCTGAGTTCTTGTGGCAAAAGACGGAAGGCTGGGGTCGCGGGAAGATGAGGGGTCAGGCGAGGGTGCAAGGGGAAAGGGATACTCAGGAAAGGTAGCAGTGGATGAGAGGGGAGGGCAGGGACCGTGGCCTAGGAGGGAAGGAGGGGTGCGGGCAGTTCTGGGGACACCCAAATCTGAGTTAAGGCTGAAGGGAGAACAGGCAGCAGGTTGCAGGGAGCGGGTCAGGGAGTCTGAGGCTACTCGAGTCCAGAGAGAAAAGGGGACATGGGCTGGTCCCGGACCCGAAATGAGAAAAGGGTCGGGCAAAATATGGGGAGAGTCCCCAAAGAGGCCCGAGGGGGCTCCTGCGCCGACACGGGGTCCCCGGACCCGTCTGTGAGGACGCTGGGCCGAACGGGGGTCCCCAGAGTCCGCGGGGTTCGGAGGGGCAGCACGAAGGGTCCCGGGCCAGGCTGGGGCTCCTGGAGCATCCCGAGACTCTGGGTCGCACTAGAGTTCCGAGGGGCGTCCCAGGCGGCGCGGGGCCAGGCCGGGCCCGGCCGGGGCCCCGGGGGGCTTCTGGGCCGCCGGGGCCGGGCGGGGGGCGCGGTGGGGGAGGGGCGCGCCCGCCCCACATAAAGGCCCGGGCAGCGGCGGGCGCGCACAAAGCGGGGCGCGCGGGCGCGGGGCGCGCGGGGAGGCCGGGACCGAGGAGGGCCGGGCGGGCGGAGGGAAGGAGGGAGGGGTCCGGGCGGGCTGCGCCCGGGCGGTGCGGCCGCTCCTCACCTGATTGTCCATGGCTGGCGCCCCGCCCCGCCCCCGGGCCCCGCGTCGCTCGCCGCCGCCGCCGCCGCCGCTCAACGCCGCCCCGCCGCACTCATTGTCTGTCAGGCGCCGCCGCTCCGGGCCGCCCGCCCGCCCGCCAGCCCCGCGGAACCGGAAACCACCGCCAGCCCGGGCCGCTCATCGACCGCGGGCCCCCGCCGCCGACTCGGGCCCGCCGCCCCGACGGACAGCCACCTGGGCCAATCCACGGGACCGACCGCCGCTAGGACGGCGGGACTTCCGGCCTGGTGGGGGCCTGCCGGGCTGCGGTCGGAGGGACGAAGCCCTCAGCCAATGGGAGGCCGGGACCAGAGGGGCGGGAGGAGGGAGGGAGGGAGGCGCGAGGCGAACGCGGCCGAGCGGAGCGCGAGGTGTGCGCCGCACGTGGAGGGGGGCGGGGGCGGGACGGGCGCGTCGCGCCTGCGCAAAGCGGCCAGGCCGCCAGGCGGGAGCGTCTCTCCCGCGCCCCCCGGGTTGCAGGTTGGGCCTCTGGGGAGTGAACCCCGGGGGCATTTGTCGTGCGGCTGCGAATAGCTACTGTGTGATGGAATGAGTTCTACAACTAGGCATTCATTTTCAACCTGGAGTCTGCGTGTGCTCGCCTCGTCCTGAATCTGTCTCTGCATCTGTAAAATGGGGACAAGAATAGCAACGGCCGATTCTGCTCGGACCGATTGGTAGGATACGTATTTGACGTCGAGCTTCGCTAAAATAATCAAAAGAGCCTCCTTCTCTCAGTTGGGGGGAAATAAGTTCTGGTATCTTTTGCACACCAAGGGGACCATAGTTAATAATGAGGTATGTTTATTTTATGTATTTATTTAGAGACTGGGATCTCGCTACTTTGCCAAGGCTGGGTATCAAATTTCCGCGCCCTAGACATCCTCCTGCCCCAGCCTCCTGAGTGGCTGGAACTACAGGCACATGCCACCATGCCCCAGCAAATAATGACATATATTGCTAAATTGCGAAGAGTGTTTTTTTGGTTTGTTTTTTGTTTTTTTGTTTTGGTACTGGGGATTGAACCCAGGGGTGCTTTGCCACTGAGCTACATCCCCAGCCCTTTTTATTGATTTATTTTTGAGACATGTCATTAGGTTTCCCAGCTGGCCTTGAACTTGCAATTCTCCTTCCTCAGCCTTCTGAATTGCTAGGATTACAGGCTTGTGGCACTGCGACAATAAAAGTGGATTTTAACGTTTTCATGACAAAAACAATAAATATGAGATGACAGATATACTGATTACCCCAAGTTTCTCATTCACAGTGTATACTTGTATGGAAGCATCACCTTGTGCGGGTGAGTATATACAAATGGGTCAGTAAAAATTTTAAAAGTCTTTGCAGAGGGTGGGGGGCTGGGGTTGTAGTTCAGTGGTAGCACCCCTTGCCYGGCATGTGTGAGGCTCTAGATTCCATTCTCAGCACCACATATAAATAAATAAAATAAAGGTCTCAACAACTAAAATATATATCTATATTTTTTAGAAATTGTGAAAGTCTAATGCATGAAATTTTAAATAAAATTGGTCTCTCCAACTTGTGGTTTTAAWTTTTAGGATCACAAATTTTCACAGGGACTTGTCAGCAGTTTTTAGGTTAGAAACGGACATACCCTGGTCTTTCTCAGGATTGGTAGTCACCAGTCTTTGGAACCTTAGGACTTCTACCTGCAATTAGGGGATCCCTGTGTATGTATTTAAAATAACTTCTTATAGTTAAAAATCAGGTGGTTTTGGTTTGTTTTGGTTTGTTCCAATTCTCATTTAAGTATCAGGTAAGCCTTTGTTAGGTGGGACAAGTGCTTTGTCCTGAAGACCAGCAACAACAAAAAACAGTGGAATGGAAGTTTGTCTAAGAAGGCCAGATCGCTGTTAKGATAGCACTACCATCCTTTTGAATTTAGGGTAGTCAGGCTGAAAACAAAAATAAATTGGAGGCGATGCTGAGAAAATAAGCAGCAACTTTAATGTTGGTACAACTATTTATTTTCATCGTTATACCTGAATACTGTAAGTAGATCAGTAGGTGGTCCCCAAATCTGCAGTGTTAGTACCACCTGGGAACTCTGTTAGGAATAAAGATCCTGACTCYCTCTCCCGTTTATAGAATCAGAAGCTCAGTGCTTGCCCAGCACTCAGTAGTTAAGCAGCGCTGCAGACGGCTGAGGTGGCTGGTCTTTCAGAACACCTCCCAACCCCAGGAAAAGGAACAGAAGTGGGGAGAGAGTAGCCATCTGCTCTGAAGGAAGCTTTCAGGGGAGAACCTTTGAGCTACAATTGTTACAAAGATGAGCTTCGGAAAGCCCTCTCCCTACTCAGCTGGGAAATTATCCTTCCATCATGTTCTGAACTATAACTTTCAAAATGCATCCCCCGGGGCTCCTGCTGGTGGAGCTGGATGCCTTGGAGAGTCAAAAAGGATAATGAGGAAGCAACCCAGGTGTTAAATGGAGAGACACAAKGCAGTCCACCATTCAGTGGAATATCATTCAGCCTTAAAAGGAAGGAAATTCCAAGACCTGCTACAATGTGGATGAACCTTGAGGGCTCCAAGCTTCATGAAACAAGCCAGTCACAGAAGGACAATACTGTACAGTTCCATTCATAGGAGGTCCCTAGAGTTTTCACATCCATAGAGACTGGATGTAGCACAGTAGGTGCAGGCAGCTGGGGAAGAGATGGAGGAATGGGGATGGAGTTTCAGTCTGGGAAGATGGAAAGTTCTGGAGGTGGATGGAGATGATGATTCACAGCCATGGAGATGTGCTGAACACCACAGAACTGGACATTTGAAAATGATTTAAAGGTTAAAAAATATAKAGAGAGAGATAGACATATATGGAATGACTACTTGGCCCTATAAACATATAACTTATCCATGAGTCCATATTGGAGYAACAAAACTCATTCACAACCTTAGAAGGTGACCTTCATCTCCACTTCTCCACTTCTGATAATCTGAAACCAGCCCCTGTGGATGCCTGCTAGATACCAAGAAGGAGAAATAAATTTTCAACAGAAGAGCCATGCTGTTGTCATCCTAGTTCAGTGAGCATTGTTAGCAACGCAACCTATTTGGTTCATGCATCTGCACTTTGGGCAACATGGACAGCTAGAACAACCCCTGAGGTTGGAGGATCACCCTCCAACAYGGCTCACTCATCCACAACTGCCAAAGTTAGTGCTGGGTTTCTCCTCAGGGTGGCTTGGGCTTCCTTGTGGCATGGCGGCTGAATCTCAAGAATAAACGTCCCAAGAGAATCAGGCAAAAGTTGCATGGCCTTGTATAACCTAGCCTTGGAAGTTACATGGAGTCACTTCCACTATAGTCCAGGCATACCCAGGTTCAAGGGGGAAGGAACAGAGACCCATCTGTTCAGTGGAGGAGTGTAAAAGTTACATTATAAGAAGAGCATGTGGGGCAGGAAGAGTGGCACACACCTGTCATCCCAGTGACTTGGGAGGCTGGAACAGAAGGATCCCAAGTCCTAGGCTAGCCTGGGCAACTTGGTGAGACTCTGACTCAAAATAAAAATTGCTGAGGATTTCAGTGGTACAGCACCTCTGGATTCAACTCCCAGTACCACAAAAAAAGAAGAAARAGGAGGAGGAGGAAGAGAAAAAAAAGATGGAGGAGGAGGAAGAGGAAGGGTAGAAGGGGAACAGGCATGTGGGGTAGAGGTACTGTTGTAGCCATTTTGGAAAATGTACATTTTTCCAAAACATTATCTCCAAAACCCTTACCCTGAGTAATTACAGATGATGATTACAAACGTTATTTAATTTGCCCTTAAATAAAGTGAAGCCCTTAGTCTGCAGCATTGTCTGCAAGGTCAAGGACCAGAAGGGTAGCCTGGTATGGACACCCTCTCTTACGTCTTCCCTCACTGCCTGCTGCCCGCTCTTTCCTGGACACACTGAGCAGCCTCTGCCTGGAACCATCTCCCCTAAGAGGCCACTTGGCTCCCCACTTTACCTCCTCCAAATCTTTGCTCAAATTACCTTCTCAGTGGRATCTCTTCTGACTACCTTATTTATCCTGTCACTCCACCTTAGTCCCCCAATGCTCTTCCTCCTTTTTTAATTTTTTCCGTTTCYGCAACACTTACAACCTACTGATACACACGCAGTTGCTTATTAAATTTTGTCCATCTCCCCCAGCTCGAATGGCAGCTCCCAGAGAACAATATATTTTTTTCTTTTTCGTGATATAGTCTAAGCATAGTGCCTGGCACATAATAGGTGTTCGATAAATATTTGTTGCAAAAATAAAATGATACTGAAGCTTAGCTTCTTGTCATTTTTTTCTAGTCCCCCTGATTTCTTCTAAGAGAAAGTGTTAGCTTGATGCTTATTCATCTTTGACGTCTCCCTAGCAACTTTTTAAAAATGCAAATTTGTGAGAGAAATAAATGAGCATTATTTTTTTAAGTCAYCTGTCTTGATGACAAAGAAAACAGCCCTGGGGGTCAGAGCCCACCCTTGTAGGTGGTAGTTTCTAGTGCAAGGTCTCCCAACCTTACCTGACATTGAAATCTCCTGGGGACCTTTAAAATATACCCAGGCTCTGCCCCAAGAATTCTGGCTTCCTTCTTGGGGAGCCACAGAGACCACCACCTCCACCCCCACCCCCACCCCTGGGGGATTCCAGAGCCCCTGGTTTGAGCAGCACTGAGCTGCAGTTACTAACACTTTTTGTGTTACTGTATCTAGTTTTGTGGATACTTTTGACCTATAACAAATCACTTACCAGAGGATACAATGTTTCCTATTTTAACATATCAATGTAAGCAAAGAGAATAGATTTTTTTTAAACAGAAAAAATGGTTATTTGAGGATCTGTAATTGGTCATGTTAAATCTGTTTAACGGCAGCATCTTACGTGCTATCTCAATGTCACAAAAAATGAATCAGATAGAGACAGGGCATTCCACTCCGCCCCCCAGGCCCCACAGTTAAGAGGAGCAGCTTGCCTGCCTTTTGACATCTGCTCTGTACKCCGCCCAGCTCCGTCCAGTCTCTACCGCCCTCTAGTGATCCGGTTTGTTTGCACCCAAGGGGAGGACCTGAAGGTTCACCTGCATTTCCCCTTGTAGCTGGTCCAGCCCTTGGGGACATTTTTGGACCCTCTTTCAGGCTTAGCCTCTGCTCTCTGCACCTCACAGTTTGGCAGCCAGCCACAAATGTACACACAGCCACCTTCCACAATGTCAAAGGTGACACCAAGGTGGCCATCTCCAGCAGCGCCTCGTGGCCAGCCAGCAGAGACCTGCTGGGTCTTTAAGGCAGAGAAATTCTTGATTRTCACACTGAGGCCTTGGACATCCGTAAGCAATGGGGAACCCTGAATGGTTTGGGAGTGAACCGAAAATATGTAACAAGAAGACCTGCTCAAAAGCAGCAGCAGCCTGAACACTTGCATTTCCCCTCTCAAACCACCCCCTTTTCYGGAAATGGTCTCTTGATTTGGGAGCTCCCTCCTCCCAGGGCCTGTGTGAGCATTTAAGGCACCTCTGAGTGAAGTTTCAGCACCCTCCTGGGACAATGCCAGCCAATGGCAGGTCACAGGGCTTCAGAGAGGAYTGCTGCCCCCAGCTGCCCCCCCCCACTCTCAGACCACACACCCTGTGGAACTACCCTGCCCCCACKCCCAGTGAGGAAGTCCACCTCTGGCCTGAGTAATCCAAAGGCATGCATCCCTCTAGCTACTGGGACTGGTTTAAAGATGGGCCCYTGACCTAAACTTGGCCATGAATGACTCTGGGAGTTTCTTAAATTTTCAATAGAGGTAACATTTAACCATTAACCACATTAAAGTGTCCAATCAGGGTGGTGTTTAGAACTGTCACGATGTTGTGCAAACATCACCCCTGTTTCTGAGATGTGTTCATCACCCCAAAAGGAAACCATGCCCATCGAGCCATTAGTGACTCACACCCCTCCCAGTTTTTGGCAACCACAGAATGCTGTCTCTGTGGATCTGCCGGCTCCGCACATGAAAGTAAGCAGACTCAGTAGGTGCCCTTTTATGTCATCTGTTGGTAAGCACTGTTTAGATTTCACACCAGAGCCACATAAGCCAGGAAAGAGAAATGGGGGAGAAGCTTCTCCTACCACTTCACCCCCCCCCAGCCACCCTGAGAGATTTCTGAACTGAGGTTCTTAATTTTGGGAGGTGGGGGTTTACTGGGGATTGAACCCCAGGGGTGCTTTATCACTGAACTATACCCCAGCCCTTTTTATTTTTATTTTGAGATAGGGTCTTGCTAAGTTGCCCAGGCTGGCCTTGAACTTGTGGTCTCCTGCCTCAGTCTCCCAAGTTCTGGGATTATGGGTATACCCCAGAAGCTTTTAACTTATAGGGGGTCAAAGAGCCCTTTAGGGAATTTCATGGAAGCACATCTCCTATGCCCCCAAACATACCCAGACACACAGCATTTTGTAGATAATGTCACAATTTTACAGAAACTCCTCCTTCTAGTACCTCAATCAGCCACAAATGAAGATCCTCTGGTTTCTAAAACTAAACAGAAGGACCCAGAAGCAGGAGACCCAGAATCCAGGTTCAATTCTACTGATGACAGTGATACAAAGAGTTTTGGGAAAAGGCTGACCTAGCTTCAAGCCTAGGCTGTGTGATCTTCAGCAGGTCACTTGCCCTCTCTGGGCCACAACTATAATATGTGAGTGTTCATGTCTATCTGAAGGTATGCACTCCAGAGGCCTAGGTGATTTGCCCCAACACTAATCTTTTGCAGACAATGTGAAATCGTCATGGACACTGAAACCCATTCAGGGCTCTCAACTTAAGAACCTCCAACTAATGTGTTCCTCCTCATTTACTAAGCTTAGGCAACAGTTCGCTTTCTGTTGCTCTTGCTTGCAAGTTCACTCGCTCCACAAGGGGATGCTTGCCATCCCCTGGGCACCCTGCCTGAGCACCCATTTGAGAGGATGGCTCTCCAGCCCATCACTCCCTGGAACATCGCTGATTCACCTTCTCTGTAACACCCATTGGTGTCTCTAAGTGCCTTGGTCCTGCGTCTTCTTGTTTGTCTAACATCTGTCTCCTTCCTTGGGTTAGGGACTTCAATGTCAGCTGTCTTGCAAAGAGCCTAGTGTCTGGCCTGTAGCTAGAACTCCATGTGTACCTTTGTTGAAGGGATGAATGAATGAATGAATGAACAGGAGGAAGATGCACGGGAAGGGGACTGGATAACTTAGGCAGATTAATGAATAAACAAATGGTTGGCTAAACTGAATGGACGGAAGGATGGATAGAAGGATGGATGGACAGATGGGTGGATAGATGGATAGATTAAAGGATGGGCAGATGGATGGGTGTTTGCAAGACATATACTAAGCATGTCACATACGTCAACTTGTTTTATGCACGTGAAAATTCCCATGAAGGAAGAAACACTATTTATGGACAAGAGGCTTGAACTTCAAAAGTAGGATAAATCACATCCTGAAGATGATACAGCTAGAAATGGTCAAGTGGGAATTCAAGCTTAGGTCTGTCTGTCCCCAGGCCATAGGCTCTTAACCACCCTGAAAAGCATCCTCCTACCCCACCACAGCGGTACCAGCTGCCCAGCTCTTCTCTGATGCCCCACGCTCCACAGTGCTTGTTTGTCCAGTGTGGGCTTCCATTTCCCTCAGCTGTTTGCCACTCATGACTTGTTCCCCATGAGTTCAGAGGCAYGCGTGGGAGGTCTGCGAGGTCTCTGCATGCACTTGTGGGTATACAATTGGGAGTCTGGGTTGGGTGCAGTGGTGTACATCAAATCCCAGCAACTCGGGAGGCTGAGGCCGGAGGATCACAAGTTCCTTGCCAACCTCAGCAACGTAGTGAGACCCTGAGCAATTTAGTGAGACTTTGTCTCAAAGTTAAAAATAAAAAGGACTGGGGATGTGTCTCAGTGATAAAAGCACCCCTGTGTTCAATCCCCAGCACCAAGAAAGAAAAAAGATTGGGTACCCACAAGTCATGTGTGTTCTCTGGGRTGCTCCCAAGTACCAGGGACATGGTCATCCAATGTCCAGCCACAGATCCAGATCACCAATACATACAAGATGCCAGACAGCAAGCCTCAGCCTGGGTCATGCCAAGCAGGTGACACATCACCCAGGCATCCCAGCAACTGGTGACTCCACCCCACCAGATCATGTGACATCTGTGGACACAGAGGAGGAAGAGAAAGAGGCCGGGGCAGGGCATGGCAGGGGGAGGTGCAGGCAGTCCTCCCCAGGTCAGTAGACTGCTRCTCAGGACCACTAGGGAGCTCATCCCCTGCCTCGGGGCAGGGAAGTGCAGGACAAGGGGCCTGGGAAAGGGAAAGGCGAGGAACCGCGAGTGTCCCTCAGATACAGGTGACCCTGCAGGTGGCCACAGCCTCAGCAGCTCTTGTCATCGCCCTGGACTTCTACATAGGGCAGCCCCATGGGCCAAGTGTCCCGCGGCCAGTAGCGGACTTTGAGGGTTTGGCCTGGCATCTCGTAGCTGGCGTCCACCAAGGCCATGGTGACCAGGCCGTAAGGGAAGGTGATGCTGATGAGCACGTGCCTGTGGGGTGCAGGGAGAAGGTGCTGAGGGCACTAGATGTCCCGGCGCCACCGCCGCCTCTCCTTACTTCTCGCGGATCTCACTTTCCCCAGGGGCCTTCTGGGTCCAGTCCCCAGCCTCYGTCTCCCCCCACTCCCCAGCCCTGGTGTCCGGGTCTCCTCCCACTCGGCCTCCCAGCTCCTGGCTCTCTGGTGGTGGGGTCCCAGGGTCCAGGGCAAGTGCTCACCAGATGCTGTGCAGGTAGAAGAAATGAATCCGCTGCCAGAAGCCGCAAAGGAAGCGGTCGCTGATCCAGCTCGTCACAGCACAGGCCCATAAAACCACGGACACCTCGATCAGGTGCCGAAGCTCCTTATTGCTGGTCCTGGGGGAGGGGAGGAAGGGAAGGGAGGAAGGGAGATGAGGCTGGGCTCAGGCGGCAGAGCCCAGGGGCTGATGCAGAATTCCTCCATCCCRGATGAGGCTGGAGCTGGGAAGAGGGGAGGGGAGGGGTTGAGGGTTCAAGTTGGTGCCTGCTGTAGTTTGGATCTGGAATATTCCCCACAGACCTGGGTGTCAGAGGCTTGGTCCCAGCTTGGTCCTGTTGGGAGGAGCAGAAGCTTTTAGAGGCGGGGCCTGGAAGGACGAGGTGATAGGCCCTTGCAGCAAATCACGCCCCGGATCTCTTCCTCTTGCCTTTGCCTCCGGCCACCAGGAGAGTGGTTCATGGCCACTCCAAGCGCCCCTGCCATGACGGGGGCCTCACCACAGACCCAAGAGCCACGGGGCCAACTGATCATGGCTGAAACCGCCACAGCCGTGGGCCGAGCGTGCCCCTCCTCTGTGTCAGTTGATTCGTGTCAGGTGTGTGTTCCAGCAGCAGAGAACTGCTGAGAATTGACAGGACCCAGCAGCAGGTGTTAACCCAGTCCTCCAAGCACCTTTGTCAATGAGGAAACTGCGGTACAGGTGGTGATGTCAAGTCCCACCCATGGTTACATGGCTGAGATGTGGCAGGGCTGGGATCCAATCCTCGTTGGTCAGATTGTGTAACCTGTGTTCCTAGGTCGCAAGTCCCTCTAGGTTTGTGTATTTRGGGTTATAAGCGTGTGTCCCTCTGGGTCAGTGCATGAAGACATGTGTCTGTGTATTGCAGGAGTGTGACTATGTGTGTCACAGTGAGTGTGTGTCTGGGGTGGGGTRCACTCTCTGGAGGCCACGCCTGTGTTTCCCAGCAACAGAGCTACCCCGGGGCTCCTTGGCAAAGAGCGTGACCCGGATAAATGAGACAACAGCTCCTTTTTGGTTAAAAGCTTAGACTGTGTCCACTCACCTAGAACTGAGCAGCCTGAACATCAAAATGCACTGTGAGTACGAACTGGAGAGTCAGCCTAAACCCTGTAATCTGGTTAACAGCATTATATCAACATCGATTTCTTCCTTTTGAGATATACTTGGGTTGCATAAGCTGTTCCCTTTGGGGAAAACTGGGGAGAAGTACATGATAAATCCGTGCTATATTGGCAACTTTCTGTAAATCTGTAATTATTTAAAAATTTAAAAGATTTTAAAAACAGTCTAATGACTGTCATGCATTAAAACATGTCAGAGATATAAAAACCTTTATGTTCATAATAAAAAATCTGCTTCATGGGTCTCTACTAGAGACTCCTAGGGCACCAATTCATTACTCTGGAAGTCGATAGATAAAAGGAAAAAGTCAATTATCTATGCAACTTGTTCAAACTGGATTTCAAGGTTGATTAGCAAAAGTCCTTCTGGGTGGAAAAACTCCAGGTAAGGACAACAGAAGGTGCAAGCCACCCTTTCACTGCCRCTAGCCAGGTCATGGCCCCAGCAACTTGGCTCAAGCTGCTGGAAGTTGGTGGAGAAACATCTGCAAATGTTGGTGAAACCAGCCAAATCCTCTAGCCAGCCCTAACCCTCCAAGGGGACCCGTCCATGGGGACATCCAAACCCTGCAGGGCGGGCTCTGGGGCTGGACAGGAACCACCGATGCCACCGTGAAATATTCTGGCCAAAACAAAGGAAGAACAGACCTAGATCCAACTATTAATTTGCAGGAAATACAGGGTACGAGAAAACTTAAAGATGCTAGAGGAAACGGTTGGCCAAATCCAGAACATAAATTGTGCTACAGACAAATAATTCTCTTAAAAAAAAAATCAAAGGCACGAAGAAAGGGGGATGGGAGAGGAGACCTATGAAATAAAGGGGAGCTGCGAGACCATGCTGAGGTCTTTATTAAACACAACCAGGCACCTCTCAGAAACCGAGGCCATGTCCACACACAATGTTAGGTGCTGTCTTAAGGAGCACCGTTAACTTTGTACAGAGTGAGCGTGCCCTATACCTCCCATCTGTCTTTTGAGACTGCCCCTTTCCTTCTCTATCTATCCCTGTGCATCTGGGGGATGTGTTGGGCTGTCCACCTGTGCAGACCAAATCCAGGGGCTCCCTTGTCCTTGAACTTCCAGTTCAGTCAGCCATTAGTTTCCAGTTGGCTAGACCAGAGTCTTCTAATTGGATTGGCCAGTGGTTTCTACCTGGATTAGCTAATGGCTTCCAGTTGGGTTGGTCAATGTGGAGCCCTGGCAGGGGCAGGAAATCAAAGGGGAAAAAGGAGGGTAGTGTTAGGAGAGTTACTTCTTGCAGCAGGGTTGCCTCAGGCTGGATGCAACCAGCAACTAGAAATCAGAGTCCTGCTAAGCCTCCTCTCTCCTGGGGCTTCTTGGATCCTGTGGCCTCTTCCTCCTTCCTCCTCTCCCATCACCCCTGGCCTTGGGTCTCCAGCTAGACATAGAATCCCACTCTTATCAGCACAGAGATGCTAAACAAGCCCCAGTGATTTTTCTGTACCCCGACTTCTGTGTTGTGAATAATCTTTATTCAATTTTCCATAAATGTCCCTGTTTGAGAAACCCTTCTCTATCCTGCTAAGACCCAGTGTGGGTTAAAACCCATAATTATCAGTGGAGTTAGATCCTGAAAGGTTTAGAGTTGAAATGTATATGAGACTCAGGGGAAAAAATGTCACCCATCAAGAGCAAAATGTCAATGGTTGCTGGGCTGGTTAATGGGTGAGCGGAGGTTATGGGCTGTTCTCTCCTCTCAGATGCGTGTTTTAGGGGTTCACTGTAAAAAGGACCAGATCTGCAGTCAGATAGACTTAGGTTTAGGTCCTGGCCCTGCACTTGCTAGTGGGTGATGTTGGGGGAGGGGCCTCCCCTCCAGGGCCTGGAGTCAAGGAGTCAGTGCCCAGAGCACGAGAGTTCTCGGGGGTGACGGGCGGGGTCACGAGGGTCGGTCGCCTCCACTTACTTCCGGTACTCGCGGTACACGATGTACAGGATGTGTATGGCGATGCTGTTGAGGGCATATGCATTGACCGTGGGCTTCAGGAAGGACAGGAAGGTGCTGATCGTGGTGGTGGCAATGACCAGGCAGGTGAAGTGGGACCTGGAGGGAGAGGGGCTCAGCTGTGAGTGACAGGAGGTCCTGGAGGGTCAAGCCTGGTCATCTTATGGTGGCCAGAGAGGGAAAGGAAGGAGAAAGGCTCTGGGAAGCCCAGGTAGGCCCAGGATGTGTCCTGAGCTTGGGCTCAGGAGAGTCCGACGAGGGGTCCCAGGGAGGCCAAGCTGGGCCCAGAGCTGGGTAGGAGGATGAGAGGGTCTCAGGAGCCCAGGAAAGTTGGTCAAGGCTCCAGAGGCCGGTGAGTTCCGCAAGAAGCTCAAGGGAACCCAGTAGGCTGGGAGGAAGATCCATGAGGGGTCCGACAAAAGACCTCAGGGTCCCTGGAGGGACTGTGACGATGGGGTGTCTGGGGCAGTGAGAGGGTGGCATCCTAGAAGCCTTAGGTGGGGTCACACAGGATTAGGAGAGGTTTGGAAGGGCCTCCAGTCAAGTCGGAGGGTCCCAGGGGCCCGGGAGCAGAGGCTGAAAGATTCCAAGGAGTCCAGGTGAAAGACTGGGGGGAGGGATCCTGGGGCCCAGGAAGGCTTAGGCCCGGGGTCCTGGGATCTCCAGGTGGCTCAGACAAAGTCTGGAGAAGGTCCCAGGCTATCAAGGTGGGATCGGGGGAGGGGGCTGGAAGTCCAGGTAAGTGAGGCAGGGTGGGGAGAGACCCCCAGGGGGTCTGGCCAGGGATTCTAAGGCCCCCAAATGGCTCAGGGCAAGGATCCAGGGTGGGGGACAGGTGAGGACCACAGAGCTCCACAGGGTCCACAGAGAGTTCAAGCCCCACCCTGTTCCGACCGACAGCCCCTGCCCCACCTGTTGCTTGCGAGGAAGGAGGGGAAGTAGCAGCGGGGCATCCAGATGCTGTAGCTACTGGCCAGTAGCCACAGGATGGCGATCTCATCCAGCAGCTGGCCCAGGAAGCTGAGCGTCATGTGGAAGTACATGGAGAACAGGCCTGGAGAGGCAGAGGCAAGGGGAGGCGTCAGGGGTGGGCGACCCGTGCCCACGCCCACCTCCTCTCCCCGGCAGAGCCACACCTACCAATGATGGTGAAGAGGACAAAGGTACCATAGATGCAGCGGGAGCGCTTCTGGGTGTAGGGGTGCATGAGGAACATCATGAGTGGCCCGAAGATCAGGAAGGAGATGTTGCTGAACTGGAACAGAGACGTGGGAGGGGGCTTCCTGAGTCCAGTCCCTCAGTCACCAGCCAGTGGACCACCTGCCACCTTCCGGGCAATTCTTCACTCACCTGTCACCCCTCCAGCTGTTTCTCTTCCTGCCTGCCTGCCTTTCTTCCTCCCCTCTCTCTTTCCCTCTCTCTGCCTGTCATGGTTCTAGGGATGGAACCCAGGGCCCAGGCATGCTAGGCAAATGCTCCACCAGTGAGCCACACCCGCTGTCCTCTGCTGATGTGGACAAAGCATGGGTCAGCAGTAGACCCCAGTACTCCACCCGGTACTCTAGGGGTTCATCCATTCACTCAGGAGCGTGGCAAAGACGATAGACTGACCTTCTCCGTATATTCTCCCCCGTTTCTTTTTAGGAAAAAAACTCCACATCCATAGGTTCTGTAACTATCGACTGAACCAACTTCAGATTGAAAATACTCAGGAAAAGGAAATAATTGCTTCTGTCCTGAACACGTACAGATTTTTATTCTGGTCGTTTTTCCCTCAGCAACACAGTGTAAGTACCATGTCCACATCAGTTACATTATATCAGGTGTGATAAGCTATCTGGAGATGATTTAAAGTCTACAGGAGGATTGTGTAAGTTCTATGCAAATAAAAATGCCATTTAATATCAGGGACTTGAGCATCCGTGGGTCTCAGTACCTGTGGGGGTTCCCGGAACCAGTCCCCATGGAAACAAGGGACCATCATAGTATCTTACAGGTTCTAGCTGAGCACACAGCTACTCGATGGGAGAAGACAGTTTCCACCTGCCTCACAACTCCTGTGACCTGGTGACCCAGTCTGGCTACTGGGATAAGGACCTAGAGGACATCTCTGCCTCCTGGTCAGTACTTCAGAAGCTACTTAAGGCTTGCCCTATGTTGTCTCCCTTTCCCGTGAATTGAAATGTCGACATGGTGGTCATCTGTGAGCTTCACAGACAAAGAAGGACGACACAGCACCCTAATGGCTGCCTCCTAACCGTATGAAGCAAAGGTGGGGCTGTGCGGCTTCTAAGGTGAGATCATAAAAGGAGCTGTGGCTTCCCCCTGACTCTCTTTATCTTAAAGTATGAGACCGTCGGCCCCTGAGCCACCAAGCGAGAAGCCTGGCTACCCTTGAAGCCACTATGTTGAGAGACCACACAGGATAGAGAGAGATGCTGGGGAACATCTGTTCCAGCCCCAGATGTTTGATTCTCCCCAGTTCAGTGGCAGCACAATTCAATGAACCTTCAGATGATTCTAGCTGCACCCCAGCCTTCCAGCGATGCTAAGTAGAGATGAGCTGCCCCTGCCGAGCCCGACCTAGACCACAGATGAATTCATGAGTAAAAGTTGTCCTTGTTTCAGGTCACCAGATTTGAGGATAACTTGTTACGCAGTATTAGCTAGCTGAGACAAAAAGGAAATATCACTGTGGGTCACGATGGCCAGGAAAATCTTCCTTGGGAAGAGGAGGAAAAATAGAGACCAGGAAATACGGCTGCACCTGTTCGGAGCCCCGGGAGGGCATGGCTTTTCGGTTTGAAGGTGATCTGTGGCTTAATAACGGGTCTCCCCAGGGTTAGACAGCTACTATGTTTCAGATCCCAGGTAAAGTTCCTTATTTCCAGAATTTTCTTCTTATCCTCAAAACAGCATTATAGAGAAGATATTGATTCTCAGAGTGGTCAAATCATCCAGCCCCATCATTGGACCAGTAAGTGAAAAATCCAGAATTTGAGACCAGAGTCCAAGAACGTGTGAATTTCTGACAAGATGGAGCAGAGTTCCGTTTATCAGAGCAGCAGAAACTATTTACCAGGTTCCAACTGATAACCAACAATAAGCCCACCAGGAATGCAGCAGCTGGGGTGGAAGGTGGGATTGGGGAGTTCAGCCACCCTCCTCCCTCCTTCCTCACTAACCCAACTGGTTTGGTTCAGTATTAGGAGACACATCATTCTGGGGAGACAAACCCCAGACCTGGGAGGGAACGACAATCAGTGCAAGCCCATCTGGTTCTCCCCTTTCTGTGATAGCAGAATTCTTTCCCAGACTCCCTTGCGGCTCCACGTGGCCATGTCCTAAGTTCTGGCCAATGAGAGTGAGCATAATAGTGGCTTCCAGGTGGCACTCTTAAAGTGAAAGTATGTGACCAGTCCTTACCCACTTTCTGCTGGGATGCAGGTGTCATGGGATAGCTCCCTGGGCCACACAGACAAGGGCAATGGCCTAGAGATGGCAAAGTGACTCTAGGGATATCCCTGGTCCCTGGCATCGGGGGCTTTCCCACCAGCCCTGAAAGCTTATGGATTAGACATTATCTACAGGAGAAATATCGGGGCACAGCATCACGTGCTTGTCATCCTGGCCACTCTCTGCAGGCTGAGGCAGGACCATCTCAAGTTCAAGACCAGCCTCAGCATCTGAGTGAGACCCTTGGCAACTTGATGAGACACTGTCTCAAAATTAAAAACAAAAATGATGGAGGTTATAAGTCAGTGGTCAAGTGCCCCTGAGTTCAGTTCCTGATACCCTGCCGAGAGAGAGAGAGAGAGAGAGAGAGAGAGAGAGAGAGAGAGAGAGACTCCTATCTTTATTGAACCACTGTTATTTTATTATTTTATCTTTGCCACAATTGAACCTGTATTTTAAGTTATATGCTTCCTCATTTTTTTTAATTGAATAAGTCCAAATTTTGCTCAGTCTTCAGGAGGACGTGGCCTTCAAGGGGTCAGGTCTGAGCCCCAAGGCATGAATCACCCTCATGGTGAAGCACTGGTTAAGGAAGGGATGTGTAATAAAATTCTGGCCAAGGAGTCATGAAGGAAAGTCTGATGGGGAACTTCTGGGAAGTTCTCTTTATTAAAACTTGAACCATTAACAGAACCTTTACACAGTGTTGTGGTGGTTAAGATGGCAGTTATATTGCACCTGTGAGGAAGCAAGGTGAGAATAAAATCTAATCAATAGTCCAGGACAGCAGTTCTCAAAACTCGTTGCTCTCAGGACCCTTTTACATTCTTAAACAGAAAGAAAAAGCTCCCAGAGATTTTACTTATATGAATTCCATCAATTGAGATTTACTGTATTAGAACTTGAAATCAAAACATTCTAGAAGGCTGGGGATGTGGCTCAAGCGGTAGCTCGCTCGCCTGGCATGCGTGCGGCCCGGGTTCGATCCTCAGCACCACATACCAACAAAGATGTTGTGTCCGCCGAGAACTAAAAAATAAATATTTTTTTAAAAATTCTAGAAATACAGGACTGCATAAGCACCCACTCCCTCAGCACCAGAGTGGGTGGGGTCATTATGTATCATGTAACCTCTGGAAGATTCCATTGTGCCTGCAGAAGAGAATTGGGGCCAAAAGGGCAAATAACATCTTCGCATGATTCGTAAAGACCACCAAGAACGCAGCAGCTGGGGTGGAAGGTGGGATTGGGGAGTTCAGCCGCCCTCCTCCCTCCTTGAGGAACCCCTACAAGGTCTGGGGAATGCCCCGGGTCCGGGACAACACTGCGAGGACTACACAGGAACAGAACAGAAAGACGGGGAGAACCCAGCCGTTTGGCGGTAAGCCTGTTCCGGACTTCCACTTCCATAAAAGTTAAGATGTTCTCCTTTCTGTGCAAGTGGTTTTTAGTTGGCTGTTTTGTTGAAATCAATGCTTCCCAACGTAGAGACCTAACATAGGACTGGATCCCTGCTCCCTGTTCCCTAGGTCGATGGTGCCTTTGAAAGGTGACACAAACCCATTACCTTCATCTCCAATTTGTGAAACACATGCAATGCTACCTCCTCTCAGCGCTGTTGACCGTCCCAGGTGTCATGAGCTACCAGTGCAGTCAAGGTCATCAGACCTTCACACCAGATTTCGACCATCAATGGCTCCAGGCCCCCATCTGCTGACGCAGGATTTTGACTCCCCACAAAGACTCCCCCGTCCGCCTCAGCCGCAGCAGGCAACTCGGGAGCTCAGGGGTGCTTTTCCTCGGCAGCCTCGGACTTGAGGACAGCCAGCTTGCTCTCTCGGGGACAGCCGTCCCTCCCTGAAAGACTCTTCCTCTTACCAGGCTCCTCCGTCGTCATCTGCACTTCATCTGAGCCAGGGAAGAAACAGCACCCTGCTAACTGGGCCCTGCTCCTCTCGGAGTCCCGGCCGGAGGGACGCTGCCTCACCAAGTCAGAACACAGAGGGGGGCGTCCATGGGCTGGGCCTGACGCTTCCCAGAGCAGGAGTCCTCCTGGGCCTGTCCTCAGGGGGATCATGGCACCAGTGCCAACAGCCCACTTGGGGGACTAGCCTGGGCTCTGTGAGGCAGCTGTTCCCAGGCCACGTCTACCCTCTCTCGGTTCCCACCCTGGGCCTTGTCTGCCGGAGGACAAGCCATGCCCATCTCCAGGTCAGTTCCTAAGGCCTGCCCAGCACAGAGGTACTCTGAATGACCAGATATCTGGGTCAGCAGGTCCCTACCTCACTGGAACAGACCCCTAATGCTCCCCGGGCCGATAAGGTCTTCTGACTTGAGAATTAAAATGCGAAGTTCTGCAGCTTAGGAGTCACCAATATGGAGTCAACCATTGACAAGAATCTAAAGACCTTACGCATGTGAGGCAAGCTCTCTACCAACTGAGCTGTCCCCAGCCCACCACCTGTGGCCATGAGGCACCAAGGCTGGGAACAAGTGCAAATATCCCAGGACGCTACGTGCCCTCCTCCTGAGCCCTCCAAAGCTGCCCGGCCGTGGGCTTCTCACTCCTTCTTTTTCTAAGATATTCTGGTGTCTTTCCATGGCATTCTTGTCACTGCAAGTTTGGGTTCTAAATTTTTGTTTTCTTCTGATTTTTTGCTTAGACCAGCATTCCGTTATTGGGATCCAACAGTCATCACCACCAGTGTGTCAGCTTGGGTTCTTTGGTAGCAAGCAACAGAAAATGATGGTGGAAACTTATATTATAAATATGACATACAGGGCTGGGCTGGGCTCAGT